GGGAGTCATGCGTGCGAGGCGCCTACGGGGCGTGCGACCGCGCAGCAGCCTGGCCGACGATTCGAAACTGCATCACCGATTTCCGATCTACGCGCGCTCGAGAGCGTCGCGGAAATAAGCGGCGCCTAGTTTGCGACGGATACTTTATCGTCGTTGCTGCGCGATGAAATATCACGGAGACGTCTTTTTATTTTTCCGGATAAGGGAAAAGAAGAAACAAAGTGCGCGGATACAATGCGGACCTAGGTCCACGTGTCACATTTCCGTGAATCAAGCGCGTGCGCACGATGCGTCATTCATTATGGAGACTGCACCCCGACGAATATACACGCCTCCTCGGCTACGCTTCCTATTCACATAAACTGTTTGAGCTCTCCCCCATAGAGTCTCTCTTTCTTCTCTCAAGATTACTCTCTCCTTCTCTCTCTTTCTCTCTGCGTGCGTTTTACAGCCGCTATGATTTTTCGTTCGAACGAGATTTTCACGCTGCGTTATTTATGAGCTTCAAAAGTGGCGGCTCGTCGTTTGGACGCGCAATTTGCTCTGGTAAAATAGCCAGCCCCATTGTCTTCCGCGTGTACAGGGAAAGCAGCGCAAAAAAAAGTGAAAACAACAGGAGCTCATAGTCGAATATCTTTGAAAGAAAAAAAGGGCGTACAGAGTGCGGCCTGTTTGTTCTAGCACTCTTTCAATTGGTTCCTCTCGCGCTGGAGTTTCCCATCCCTCCTGCCGCGGCTACGTGCGCGCGCGCGCGCGCTCGAGAGCTGAATAGAGCGAGAGCGTCATTGTCAGCCGCGCTAAAAGTCCTCCGCGCGAGTTTGGGCCTCTGCGCTCTCGCTCTCGCGACGCAGACAATGGAGGGCCTTTAACAATTTCTCCTCGGCGGGAAAGGTCAGTTACCCGACGGCGCTCTGCGCCCGCTGCATGACGAAGCGACGCTGCACGATGCAGCGCGCGCGCTTTTATTCTCCGATCGTGATTGCCGATTATGTTGCGCGCGGGACGTTTCGTATCCTAATTTTGTAAGGGACGAAGCACGATCGGTCTATTGTCGTTGTTTTCGCCGATGAGAATCGTGTATGCAATTGTCAATTCGCATGATGACTTTGCGGTAATTCGAGCACTTGTTTTTTCTTTTTTCGCTCCTACGGCAGGAGAGCAATATACGAGTACGTGCTATATTTGTATTATATGCTCCGTGCAATATTTACTATTTTTATCTCCAACCAATTTACTTAGCTGTCTCTACCATCTTTGTAAAACCTTTTGCATTACTCACCTGAAACAAAAAAAGTAAGCTTTTATTAACAAGACGTTTCTCGAATGAGAGAATTAAATGATCATTTACATGGTATATTTACATGTACTATAATATTGAAGTTGATCATTTTATATGTTATAAAATATCGTAAAATACACGACTTTGTGATTAAATATAATTTTTTGCATAATAAATACGTTTTTGTCTTCTACTTCAGAGCGTTATTCAGTTATTTTCACTCCACAACGTATTATTTTGAACACAAAAAATCCGCAAATGTCGCAAGCTATACAATTGTATGTAGTTATAATTGGTTGTAAATTTTTTCAGCGTTTTGCATAAGTACTTATGATAAATTTAGTCCAATCAATAGAGAAAATTACAGATAAAAATATACCGTGTAACTTGAGATTTTGCAACATTTCTTTTAAGAGATTAAAAATTGCAAAAACATGTTTTTGAAGTCTGTTAGCCACGGTTTGCATTTTATATAAAAACGTTTAGACGTAAATTGTACAGAAGTTCAAAAGCTACATTTTAAGCTATTGCTTAATTTTTAATCATCAGTTATTGCAAAAAGTACCAATAACTCTCAAAAATGGCTATTTTTAAGATATCAAATATTTATTGTAAAAATAATATTTTTTTATTTTTTGTTTTACTATTAAGAGTAAGCTCTTACCATTCTGTAAAAAGTGATTCTTCGTGTGATTGAATATATTTATAAGTTGCTCAAATATTTCAATTAATTAACTAAGAGGTGGCTAAAGTACGGAGCCTTAACTTTTTTTGGCCGAAGGGATTAAATTGCAAAACGGTTCAATCTCTTTGTCAAAACGTTAACTTTGATAATTCACCGGTGGTGAATGAAAAATTTTCGTTTCAACCCCTTGTTTTTAGCTTAACAAAAACAACGCTTTTATCGATAAATAAATGTATTTGTGGTTTCCCTATACATTCCAGATTCTTTACACCTGATAATTTGAATGGCTGGATTCACGACAGATATTTATAAAAAAAATTTTTATTTTCGATTAATAGCAGGCGTGTTAGGTTTTTTTTCTATTTAAATCGCAGTTGTGTGTAAAAATAAAGATGAAGAAGTAAATATAGTGGGATTCGATACTTAATGAATTGTACTTTATCTTGTCTTTGTTACATTTTCAAAATTTTGTCTCTTTAATATTTTGATTAGATAAAGTGCTGTAAAAATCAAAAGTCGGACGCGGTGGTGGAGGAACTCATGCCGCCCACGTTCTTGGGCTCAGGAAAACTGAAATCTCGCGTTAGATTGGTACGCTCAGAAAAACTGAATGAATATCATTGAATAATGCATCAATTTCAATACTTTTTTAAGCTGAGGTAGCTTCGAAAAATATTAACAATTACGTTCTTATTATCCATGTATTAATTAAGATTGATTTATTATTTACTATACTTATGTGGCTAGTTACAAGTTAAAAGGTTACATGGCAATAATACGGAAAAGCAATGGTCATCAAACTATTTTTTATGATATTACATATTACAGATACATATTTATTATTCAAATATCGCCTTGAAAAAGCCTACTTCTTCTGGGAGCAAATTCACACGTATTATTTATTTCGCCCACGTTAATTAAATCATTTTCTATAATTATACCTAGTCTAGTTTTACTGTTCATTCGTTAAACATTTAATGCTTTTTTTGTTTACGTTATTGTAGGATGAAAGTTTCTGTAACTTAATTTGAAATACTTTTCCTTACCATGGACTGTCTGTAGCTATTAGAGAAAAAAAATTTTAACACGACACTGTAAATATTTTGACGTCAGTGAATGAACACGTGCTCTCTCCATTCTTGAACTAAAAATTTCTATAATTTGGGCATTATAAGTAGAGTATTGAAAGAGCTTCTAGCCTCGTGAACCTTTCCACCCTCGCTTCGCTTGGGCGTAAACGCCACACGAGACAAGAATCTACTTTCCCGCACTTGGATCGTAATGTACTATTAGAATATACGCCATTTCAAAGTGTATATTTCGATTCGCATTACATTACATATAATATAGAAATATACAGTGAAAGCCATGTAGTTAAACACGCCTCTTTATTATCCGTAAGAACTTCTTGCACTGCAGATGATCATGGTGGTATGACGTATGTAGCAACCAGATATCGTTATCGATAAAGGTTCTCATTGTCCACGCTTATGGCGCTATTCAGAAACTTTGTAAGAAGAAGTCATCCAAAAAATTCCAGTGATAAATACGAACCTTCACTGTATACTTTGAGTCATGCAAAAGCACAGAGAGTTTCTTGTTAACTTGACAATACATCTCTAATTATATCCCATTCTTATTACTCACTTTTGGCTCTACGATAAAGAAAGGTACACGTGTCATCATGCTCCCATCATTTCAAGAGTGTAAAAGTTCGCAGTCACACTAGAGTCGCCGAAGAGCACGTTTCGGGCACTTCTATCGTAGTGTAGAAACGATTCTTTAGAAATATCAATTTGTGAATAGTATCGTTCGATAAAGTGCTAATTATGGAGGTTCTTCCGAATTATGAACATACTGAAAATATTAGTAATCCTATAAATCTAGTTTGGTTAAAACAGTACTGCTGATATTAATATAATATAAATAAGCGTATATACAAATAGTTTTTTCTATACCACTAGTGATTAGCATGCCTCATGCGTTCATCTTTTTCGTCATTTTTCCCATTTATTTTCATACACGAATAAAAATTAAATAATTTATTGGCGGAATTAATAAGAATTCGATAATTTATTGTGCATTCCTATGATTTTCTATGATACAACCGACAATATTATTTGTTGGTAAATAAATATGCAGTTATTGATATACTTACTATTGAAAAATGTTATCAACAAAGTTTTAAATTTTTATCATATGAAATTCTGTGTTAAAAACCATGAAAAGTTTAAAAAATACGATTAAAAATTAAACATACGTTCAAACACGTTATAGCTTTCTATAATTATATCCTTTACGATGTAAATAACATACTTCGATAGACGTTCACAGATGTGATTAAATTATTATTTTTAAACAAATTTTCTAATATTTTATATAACGGAAAAGCCGAAATCACTGTATAATATTTTATCGTGAGAACCTATACATTTTTATTTTTTATTGTTTACTTTGTTTATTCGAAGTTACTCTTTCCCTACAAAAATAACTTTATTGCATTTTTCCATATGGTGTTAACTTAAAAATTATAAAATGACAGCGAAAGATCCGCCTCTGGCGTAGGGTTAACCGAAAGACAAAGAAATACAAGAAAAGCGTAGAGGCACAAGCGTCGAGCGACGAAAGTATAGGCTGTTATCAGTTTTAGATAAGCGCTTACATGATTGAAGGCCTCCCTATCTATTCTTCTTAGTAGCAACGCCGATTCACAGTTGAATAAATAACGTTTCACTATAAAACTCTTTTAAAATTATTAAAAAAATTAGTTGTATACCTTTTGTAAAGTGCAATAAGCCAATATTTTTTATGATTGCGCGCATGTAGATTGCAGTACATGTTGCAATCGAATATGCTCACAGAAGCGCTTATTAATCGGATTTGGCTTACTATAAAAAAAATTATTAAAAAATTATTCAGAAGTAATACATAAGCTTGTTATTGTTAAAATATAATTTTTATGATCGCAAACTCGTGTTCGGCAAATTTTCCTGGATTTGCTTCGGTTAATTATAATTATTAGTCTAATTTTTGCAGATATTCCTCAATATCAAGCAAATGTACATCAAAATCCTATAAAAAAATACAAACGCCCAGTGGATAAATTATGTCTTATCGTTTTCGTAATTGCCATAGCCGTGTGGATGACCATCTGTACTTTAGGTAATTAATAGATGCAACACACCGACTTGGTTATAAATTTCTGTACTTAATCATTTATGGCATTTTTGTATTCATTACCAGGAATCATGGCACCTCTAAAACACGCCAATGACTTTATGGCTAAGTATTTTACTCTCCTTCGACTCTGTATTAATGCACCTGTACTAAGGTACTCTACTGTTAAAAGCAAAGATATAATTAATTGAATACAATCACGAATTAAAGCAATGTGTTAACTTTTTCCAGATTTTCGTATGGATTCATATTGAGTATTATAACGAGTGTCACAACCATATGTTTATGCACATTTCTAATAGCGAGATTTACTAAATTCTTCATCAAAATTGGTTTGGGATACTGTTTCTTAACTACGATTATACTCTGTTTTCAATCTGTATATATAACAGTGTTGATATTGTCATCTAGCCATCCCTATTTAATTTTTTCACTCACATTATATGTAGTGCCTATTTCCATAATGTTAATCTACATGGTCGTTGCTACCTTTTGTTACCTCAAAACCGACAAAGTTGTACTCAGTGAATTAATTAAAGATTCTTATCAGTAAGTTAAACTGTACGAGGATTTCAATACAATGGTATATATGGTTGATCAATTTTTTAGGGCCATACTCTGCAGACCTTCAATCGTACTTTTCGTCAGCATTTCTACGGTATTATTAGCGTTGCTGTTTTTATTTGCTGTCAATGCACTGCTATTCAATATATTTTCCTCGCGCAGTGTGAGCTTTATTATATTGAACGCAATCATCATATTATTCGGTGCAATCTTTGTGACGAACTTTTACTACAGCTTATTTATTTTGATAGTAACTGAGTACGCTAATTATTATTACTGGAGAAAAAATGAAAATGCATCATACCTTCTTCGACAGAGTGTAGCAAACGCACTGAGGTAACAACAATATTCTGTAACGATTATTATATTTCGCATGTTAATAATTTGTCACTTACAGGAATCACATTAAGTCCATTATGTTTATGTCTACTCCATTCATGCCGATCATCTGCACAATAATTCAGGCTTTCAAACACACAAGATCTCAGCGAAATAATGAACGTTTGATTGTGTATTTTGTGAGCAAAGTTATCCTTGTGTACAGGATGCCCCAAATCGCTCCAATTTTCATGACATTCTATGGAACCGGTTACGTAAAATCTGTGAAAACAGCATTTGAAGTGGTGTTACGCCGATCCTCACTGTTCTTGGCTACATTTACGGTATATTATTTACCTAGCCATTGAATAGCTATTAAAATAACTTTTACTTATGCTTTTCCATTAAATTTTCCATTTTTCAGGTCTGCGACAGTCTAATTTCTATATTATTGATATTAACGATGATTGAATCAGTAATTGCGTATACTATAGTTCCTGCTGGAGATCCCAACACCATTGAAAATATACAAAATACTGCTTTCATTATCCATGGATGCATTTATCCAATGATATGCTTTACAGTTTTAGTATCGGCTACTGTGAAAACTATGTTAATCAATAAAATTATAATATTAAATAAAGAGGAAGAAGTTACTCAAGAACAAGTTCAAAAAGTTAACTATGCATAATTATTTGAACTGTACAGTGTTCACAATCTTACAGTTAATAATTCATATAATCAACAGTAAACATTTTATACAATACAAATATATTATGTATTGTTCTGATAGTCCATTTCTATTTATTGCTAAAAGAGTATTTTTGTAAAGTAAAATATTGATGGAATAAATGTTCACTTTTTTAAAAAAGTTATTAATTTTCAAATTTACCTACCTAATTTTAATAATTAATTGTTAAATTTTTTCAAAGCCAAAATTCTAATATGTATCGTTTTTCTCAATCATATAAAAAGTTCTTAGAGTTAAAAAACCTATTGTAAATTGTAATGAGAGAGAATTTAATATAAAAAGTTATTAATCACGGAAGTTTCACTGGAAAAACTCTCCATCTTGTAAATATTAGTAATATCATCAATACATTTTAAAATATTAATCAGAATAGTTTCATAGAGTAAATAGATTAAATTTGTTTGATTTTTGGATATGACATAAAATTGGAGATATTGATATTAAATCTTATAAAAAACTATGATTTATTTCGCCCTCGCTAATTTATTATTTGCTATAATTATATCTAGTCTAGCTTTAACGTTCACTCGTTAATCATTTAATGCTTTTTTGTTTACATTATTGTTCGATGAAAGTTTATATAACTTATTTTTAAATACTTTTCCTTTCCATAAATCCAGGTATATTGGAATAATGAGACTCAGGTATACAAGGTTTTCAGGGTTTCACCCAAGGGGACCGTCTATGATTATTAGAGAAAAATTCTGGCACGACACTGTAGATATTTTGACGTCATTGAATGGACATCTGCTCTCTCCACTCTTGAACTAGACATTTCCATAGTTTGGGGACTATAAGCACAGTGTTGCCAGAGTCACTGAAGAGAAAAGACGTACTTTATCGCTGCTACAAGCATTGCTATAAACTTTAATTGTTAAAAATACTGTTTCCTCTTGCATTATTTATAAGTTTCTGGCTCCATGGATTTATTAATTTACTATTTCATTTAGTGAGCAAACTATTGTGTAAAAAGTTTAATAGTGTTTCAACGACGAGGCGGAAATTGTAAGTAAAAACGTGTGTGTGTGTGTGTGTGTGTGTTATAATGAAGAGAATGAATTGTAATTAGTGATGTCATAAATAATCGCGTGGCAATTATAACAATTAGATGGAAGAAGAACCTGGAGCTGAAAATCCAATGGAAAATAATGGCAACATGGCAAAGAATTCAAGTAGTGAAATTTTGAAGTCAGTCAGTAACATCAATGCCACACCCAAAACCAAAATCAACGCCACAATATGTAAGCTTGCTCAGATACAATTTCATCGTACGATAACATAAAGAAAATAGCACTAAGTGACTAACGAGTGACCATTAAAACTTGACTAGATATAATTATAGCAAATAATAAATTAAGCTTCATAAATACATAAATAAAAAGGACGTAATTGTATAGGGGAGCTACAAATACATTTATTTGTAACAAAATAAAGCAATGACTGTTATTGAATCTGGTACTAATAATGCCGGTTTTTTCGAAAGTTTGGAGAAATATCAATGGTATATATATTTTCGATACTCCGTGCGCAAAGTGCGTGTTTCCCGCATGCTCGGCAGAAAACGTGCGTTGAAAATCGCACTTTCCACACGTCGAATCAAAAAATACGGTACGGCACATGTTCGGGAAGGAGTTTCTTGTCTCGTGAACCTTTCCACCGTCGCTTCGCTCGGGCGTAAACGCCACACGAGACAAGAATCTACTTTCCCGCACTTGTATCGTAATGTACTATTAGAATATACGCCATTTCAAAGTGTATATTTCGATTCGCATTACATTACTTATAATATAAAAATATACAATGAAAGCCATGTAGTTAAACACACCTCTATTATCCGTAAGAACTTCTTGCACTGTAGATGATCATGGTGGAATGACGTATGTAGCAACCAGATATCGTTATCGATAAAGGTTCTCATTGTCCACGCTTATGGCGCTATTCAGAAATTTCGTAAGGAGTCATCCAAAAATTCCAGTGATAAATACGAATTTTCACTGTATACGTTGAGTCGTGCAGAAGCACAGAGAGTTTCTTGTTACCTTGACAATACATCTCTAATTATATCCCATTCTTACTACTCACTTATGGCTCTACTATGAAGCAAGGTACACGTGCCACCATGCTGCCATCATTTCAAGAGTATAAAAGTTCACAGTCACACTAGAGTCGCCGAAAAGCACGTTTCGGGCACTCCTATCGTAGTGTAGAGACGATTTTTAAGAAATATCAATTTGTGAATAGTATCGTTCGATAAAGTGCTAATTATGGAGGTTATTCCGAATTATAAACGTACTGAAAATATTGGTAATCCTATAAATCTAGTTTGGTTAAAACAGTACTGCTGATATTAATATAATATAAATAAGCGTATTTACAAATAGTTTTTTCTATACCACTAGTGATTAGCATACCTCATGCGTTCATCTTTTTCGTCATTTTTCCCATTTATTTTCATACACGAATAAAAATTAAATAATTTATTGGCAGAATTAATAAGAATTCGATAATTTATTGTGCATTCCTATGATTTTCTATGATACAACCGACAATATTATTTGTTGGTAAATAAATATTGATATACTCATTATTGAAAGATGTTATCAACGAAGTTATAAGTTTTTATCATACGAAATTCTGTGTTAAAAACCATGAAAAGTTTAAAAAATACGATTAAAAATTAAACATACGTTCTAAACATGTTATAGCTTTCCACAGTTATATCCTTTTAAAAAATTATTAAGAAGTAATACAAAAGCTTGTTATTGTTATAATATAATTTTCATGATCGCAAACTCGTGTTCGGCAAATTTTCCGGGACTTGCTTCGGTTAATTATAATTATTATTCTAATTTTTACAGATGTTCCTCAATATCAAGCAAATGTACTTCAAAATCCCATAGAAAACTACAAACGCCCAGTGGATAAATTATGTCTTATCGTTTTCGGAATTGCCATAGCTGTGTGGATGACCATCTGTACTTTAGGTAATTAATAGATGCAACACACCGACTTGGTTATAAACTTCTGTACTTAATCATTTATGGCATTTTTGCATTCATTACCAGGAATCATGGCACCTCTAAAACACGCCAATGACTTTATGGCTAAGTATTTTACTCTCCTTCGACTCTGTATTAATGCACCTGTACTAAGGTACTCTACTGTTAAAAGCAAAGATATAATTAATTGAATACAATGACGAATTAAAGCAATGTGTTAACTTTTTCCAGATTTTCGTATGGATTCATATTGAGTATTATAACGAGTGTCACAACCATATGTTTATGCACATTTCTAATAGCGAGATTTACTAAATTCTTCATCAAAATTGGTGTAGGATACTGTTTGTTAGCCACGATTATACTGTGTTTTCAAACTGTATATATAACAGTGTTGATATTGTCATCTAGCGATCTCCATTTAATTTTATCACTCACATTATATGTAGTGCCTATTTCCATAATGTTAATCTACTTGGTCGTTGCTACCTTTTGTTACCTAAAAACCGACAAAAGTGTACTTAGTGAATTAATTAAGGATTCTTATCAGTAAGTGAAACTGTACGAGGATTTCAATACAATGGCGTATATGGTTGGTCAATTTTTTAGGGCCATACTCTGCAGACCTTCAATCGTACTTTTCGTCAGCATTTCTACGGTATTATTAGCGTTGCTGTTTTCATTTGCTGTCAATGCACTGCTATTCAATATATTTTCCTCGCGCAGTGTGAGCTTTATTATATTGAACGCAATCATCATATTATTCGGTGCAATCTTTGTGACGAACTTTTACTACAGCTTAGTTATTTTGATAGTAACTGAGTACGCTAATTATTATTACTGGAAAAAAGATGAAAATGCATCATACCTTCTTCGACAGAGTGTAGCAAACGCACTGAGGTAACAACAATATTCTATAACGATTATTATATTTCGCATGTTAATAATTTGTCACTTACAGGAATCACATTAAGTCCATTACGTTTATGTCTACTCCATTCATGCCGATCATCTGCACAATAATTCAGGCTTTCAAACACACAAGATCTCGGCGAAATAATGAACATTCGATTGTGTATTTTGTGAGCAAAGTTAACCTTATGTTCAAGATGCCCGAAATTGCTCTAATTTTCATGACATTCTATAGAACCGGTTACGTAAAATCTGTGAAAACAGCATTTGAAGTGGTGTTACGCCGATCCCCACTGTTCTTGGCTACATTTACGGTATATTATTTACCTAGCCATTAAATAGCTATTAAAATGACTTTTACTTATGCTTTTCCATTAAATTTTCCATTTTTCAGGTCTGCGACAGTCTAATTTCTATATTATCGATGTTAACGATGATTGGATCAGTAATTGTGTATACTATAGTTCCTGCTGGAGATCCCAACACCATTGAAAACATACAAAATACTGCTTTCATTATCCATGGATACATTTATCCAATGATATGCTTTACAGTTTTAGTATCGGCTACTGTGAAAACTATGTTAATCAATAAAATTATAATATTAAATAAAGAGGAAGAAGTTACTCAAGAACAAGTTCAAAAAGTTAACTATGCATAATTATTTGAACTGTACAGTGTTCACAATCTTACAGTTAATAATTCATATAATCAACAGTAATCATTTTATACAATACAAATATATTATGTATTGTTCTGATAGTCCATTTCTATTTATTGCTAAAAGAGTATTTTTGTAAAGTAAAATATTGATGGAATAAATGTTCACTTTTTTAAAAAAGTTATTAATTTTCAAATTTACCTACCTAATTTTAATAATTAATTGTTAAATTTTTTCAAAGCCAAAATTCTAATATGTATCGTTTTTCTCAATCATATAAAAAGTTCTTAGAGTTAAAAAACCTATTGTAAATTGTAATGAGAGAGAATTTAATATAAAAAGTTATTAATCACGGAAGTTTCACTGGAAAAACTCTCCATCTTGTAAATATTAGTAATATCATCAATACATTTTAAAATATTAATCAGAATAGTTTCATAGAGTAAATAGATTAAATTTGTTTGATTTTTGGATATGACATAAAATTGGAGATATTGATATTAAATTTTATGAAAAACTAATTATAAATTTTACAATGGCATGTTTTACGTGTGATGTAGTAATTATCGATGTAACATATATTTATAAATTTTCGAATAATTAATCGATTATATAAAAACTATAAATATACTATAAATATAAATATACTGCCTCTGCTCATACTTCTTGAATCTCAAGAATTATAGAAAGATATGGCAAAAGATGCACATTGAAAAATAGTAATGAGAAGTCTCGCAGAGAAATAAAAGCAAGAAAGTATAAGAACACGTCACTATAGCCACTCTTTATACACACTCCTATAGGCAAAATCATAATCTGATCAAGCTTCAAGCGCGCCACATTTCGGAGAAAATCAACCTATACCAATAAATTTTCTCTTCTTTCGATTTTCCAAAATGCTGCTATGATGAAAAATGCTGAAATTATTTGAGTTATACGATGTATAAATTTATATATTAATGTGGTGAAATAAAAAATAGTATTTCTTCAAAAAGTGGTATTTTTTATCGTAAATGCAGATTTTTAACCAAAGTTACAAAGGAATTATGCGCACAAAACCACTCGCCATTGGATTTTACTTATATTTGAAAATTTACCCAGTAAATAAATGAAAATTTTATTGCAATACAAGTTTCAGAACACAAACTCGTACATCGTATTCCCTTGGACGACTTTTTTCATCTTAAAAAAATTACGAGTCACCGACATTCAGCATTGTGATTGGTTGATGCTAAAAAAGAACGCAAAATTTGAAATTTTCGTATACTTGGAAACATTTTTATTATACATCTAAGAGTGTGAGATTAGAATTTAAATTCAACAGTACATTCAATTTATGAATAATTATCATTGATAATAATCTGTAAGAATGGAATCGTGCTGTTGATAAATTTGTTTGAAATTATTAGTACAAATCGTTAGTTTTATAATCATTTGTGACACTAAATTTAATACTATCGTGCTAAAATGTTGTAGAAAGAGAAAGAAAATGAATAGAATAAAATAGAGTAGAACGCCTTTTTATCTTTAGTATATTTTAAATTACGAAATATATAAGCAACTGAAACTAATTATCAAAATATTAGACCTCTTAAATTTGAACAATATTCACGTATGTTTTCTTAGAGGTAATAAAAAGCACATGATGTTAATTGTATTATTCATACTAATATAAGATTGGAGCCATATTGAGTATGTAAAATTTAGTGTTGTTTAATAGTATAATAGCTTTATCAATCGTAGATTAGTTAATCTCTTAGATAATTTTTCCAATATATCTTGAAATAAATAGAAGTTCATCCCTTTTTGTGAGAAAAATGGATACAAATTTTATTTTTATTTGTCTATGAATGTTGATGTATATAGTCTATTTTAAACAGCATGACTTATTCGAACTCATTAGAATCTCCAAGTTCGCATATAAAAAGTTCAAATATTGCAATAAATAACAATCAAACATAAAATAAAAACAAGTACGCTAAACAATACTAGTATATAAATTTAATGATTACTATTTCTATAAATTCTTATAGATTCTCTTTTAAATCAACCAAATCAACATCCAAATCTAATAGAAAGTTACCATTTACAAATGGATGAATTATATATTTTCATGTTTCTATGAGTTATTTATAATACGTGAAAATTTTTTTCAAAAAATGATACATACCAACTTTATGGATTTTTCCTATAAAGAAAAAGATGTTCCCTGTTATAGTCGGTTATAATAGATGATACACATGCCAAAGCAAACATAAAAGCCATAATACACCACAATATTACAACTAGTTCTGTAATTTTTGGATTCAACCTCGGTTATTCACGATACAAGCAGTTAAACTATTCACTTTGACTGCTCCTTCGGAGCATGACTATGAATTGGGGTTATATATATGTTTATGAGAGTTGTCGTTCAAGAAAATGTTGACAATAGAAATTACAGTTAAATACGTGCACGCTTTAGATATTGCTAATTCCCGAAAGTTTATTTTAGTTTTACCATTATCATTAAATTTTCGATAAAACTTTGTATAAGTTGTCATTTTGCATTAGATGTATAAATAAGTCATCGGGATTCTTTTCTAATCGCGATGGAACTCTTGACGCATATATAGCGTAATCAATGCACCAATGACAAAGTTCGTACATAAGAGCAATAATAATTGAATCGATTAAATACTATAATCTCCTGGTTATTCTTTTCAGGATATACTTTACACCACTAATAGTATTGTTTTTATCTATGGCAGTCTTATATACTTGTCTTTTTGTATATGAAAAAGAAACAAAGATCTGCGCCTACAGCTAGCGTGTTAATAATTCTCGGCATAATTAGCTGTTGTTTGAAAGTCGTACAACTTCTGTTAAGATAGTCAACAAAATTACAAGATTTAGTTGTGATAAATCTTCAAATAATGAACCGACAATCGCTTATTTGTATGCTTTGATATATATCTTATCGAATTTTATCTACGCGATTGTTAGTATTGATAATTCTTTTAAAGTCGATAAACGTAAACTTTGAGGCCGGACTAACTACAGTTGTTGGTGAACCGAATAGCTCCAAAAATCGAATAAGCTCCGGACTTTTAAGTATTTATTGTCAATATTTTTCCAGGCAAATACTACGTAGTCCTTCTCATCGTTACTTTTTACTACCCCGATGATTTTATTAAAAATTTTTTTAGATTCATTCACTTTAAATGCCATAATATTCATTTTATTTTCTAACCGCCGGGATTCCCATGATATTTATAACTATTGATTGGCGGACTGACTATGGTAAAGGTGATCAACAATTTTTCTTGCATAGACATTTCGGAATACACTATTAATTTTTTTTTTTGACGTAAAGACTTCTATCGCGTTGATTACAATGGAAGTATTAAGGTAATCATATTTAATAATGAGTACAATGGTAAATAATAGTACATTGTTGAGTATAACTAACGGTTTATCATATATAGAAAATATTTTGGAACAGTATTTGCATCAACAATGATTGTCTCAATTTTTTGCTTTAATACTGCAAGCTTTCAAACATAAAAAAAGTAGAAAAATACGTAGAAAGATTGTACGTATTATTTTATAACTCAATTGGCCCTTGTAACCACTCTCGATCTTGATCTATCAACTACCTCGATCTTTACATAAATTTATGGAATTGGATTTCTAAATTCCTGCCAGAAAACGTTTGAGATGGTATAATCGCTTTAAGATATATATGGCTATACTACTGGTGAGTTAGTGTTTTATAATTCATTATCAAAAAATGAATTTATTATCTTTGACAATTAAACGTTGTAACGTATACTTCACACTGAATTTCTCTTTGTAACTATTTCAGATCATTTATGGAATATTTACGATATATTTAGAAGCCTAATAATTCCACTACCAATGATCACGATAAGCGTTGGAAATATAAATTCCCCAGTACAGATTTCCCTAAACCTAATAAGAATTTTTAGAGTAGTTTTATATAGATATTTAGCTTCTAAGTTATCGATGAGTTTTACTATTAAAGTACAATTAATCAATAAAATTATTATTTTAAATACAGAAGATCACAGTGAAATGAACCTCAACTAAAATAAGTAACCTTTTATCACCAATAGTAGTTTGAAATTTGCAATAATAGTTTGAAATTTTTCAATTACTTTTCGAATATGTATGTTAGTATAAGTAATATTTTACGCTGTTAAGATATTTTTTACCTTAATAAACTTTTTTATTTAATCAATAATTTTATTCATTTATTTTTTTCAAATAATCACATACATGCTTGAAAATTAATTAACCTTCCACAGGTGCCGTACGAACAATGAGTTTATTTTAATATTATATTTTATTACAACTTCAAATTTCAGAAATATTTAGACTTTATTGATGTATAAAAACATATACTTTATTGATCGAAATTTTTTATCTTATTTTTTTTTCTTATGACCATTAGTCGGAGAAGAAAAAAAATCAATATACGGAAGGTCAAATGAATGTTTCCCATGATGCTGCCACTCTTCCCCTTACCGAAATGCGTGTTCCCCACCCAATCTGTTGGTTACGCGTGCCTCGTCGAGTATCGACTTATATCTGAAGCAGTCAAACACGCGCCTTCGCATTGGACGTTTCGCGTCTATTTTGTTACGATACTCTTCATTGTTTACACGACGCATAGCGTCCACTGATCAGAAACAAAGTTTACGGAAGGAAAGTTTGATTCGCAATGCAATCTGACACTGAGCGTACGTATATTTAAAATGCAATGTAATAATGCTGATTCGTGATTGAATTATCGATAACTCTAGTTTATTCCATAAAAATTCGTTCGTATCGGACTATGCTTTGGTAAATGAATGCAATTAAAATGTGAAAAATAATACAAGGTATTTTGAAACTGTACACGTTACTGACTTTTTTCCGAATTAAGTTTCTATAATTGTTAATCAAATGGTCTTTTGAAAAAATAAATTAACATCGTTTTTCTGGTGAAGCGTTTATAAAACAAATTTTACAAATTACAAAATAATTTTTAAATAATTAAGTACGCAGTAAAAAAATGTTTATTGCAGATGCTCATGCTCTTCAACAATGTAGTCTCAAGAATCCGATAGAAAAGAAATCTCATACAAAGTTCCGTTTTTTCTATATATTTAATTTTATATTGTTACTTTGGGTAACGGTATGTGTGCAAGGTTCGTTTTCAGACTTTTTTACACTATTTATCTGGGCCATCAATTATATTTTCTTCTTTTCAGCTTTTGCCCGCAGCTCAACAAATAAGTTCGATAATATTTTGTTGCACGATTATAATGATACTTTTTTTGTTTTGTATCGGTACATAAATATTGCCCTGTCATACCTAAATCCAAATGTGGAAACGTAATAAAAATATATGTATTAATTTAAAAATTATTATGATATTTCTAAGAAATTAAATTGATTTTTTTAGCTTTGGTGTGGTTTTCGTACTTAGTTTAAGTTTTGGTTCAGTATCAGCATACAATTATTTCATATACATAAGATTATTTACAAAAGTATATTCGTGGTTATCTGTGATATTTTTTGTTATAATCATAACTATTGGAATGGCTGCGGTATATACTGCTCTTGATTTAGTATTCAGTATTTCCGCTATGACTTTAGTATTATATGCAATCGTAATAGCATTATGCGCACAGAAAGTAGGACTAAACACGCTTTACGAATTAATTGACAACTCTTCACAGTAAAACCTTTTTCTTCCTAAGATTTTATTATTCGCATGTCATATAGTTTACTTTAAAAAATTTTATATTTTCAGAGCCATTATCGACTGCCCTGCCATAGTATTATTTACATTCATAGTAGCTTTACTTGAGGTAATAGCAATATTAGTCGCAGCAAATGCTTTAAGATTCATTTTATCGTCGAATGATAGCACGTTCTGGATCGTCACTTTTAGTTTAATTATTGTTATTGGAGGAATTGTAATAATGGCATTTATAATCCTTTTCTCCATGGCTGTTATTGCGGAATATACTGTTTATTGGTATTGGACCACGGACAAGCGCATAATATCGTCTGCTTCAGCCGTACAAAGTTACATAATGGTTTCAAGGTAAAAACGCTGAATTTTAAACTCCATCAACTGAATAATTTTTCTGTGTTGTAAATAAATCACATATCCGTTGCTTTTTCAAGGAATCACTTAGATACGATAGCTTTGCAATCAACTTTGATCGTCCCAGTGATTTATGCAGTAATAAAAGCAATAAAATATAAAAAAAAGTCAGAATATTCGAGATATAGATATGATATGGTTTTGGAATTAATAGTCAGAGCTATACTAGTACCTACTATAGTACATACTTCTTTGGTTCACGCATCAATATTCCGAAGTAATTTATTCAAAGCAGTGAAACAAACCTTCAAAATCGTTTTAGCTAACGCTGCATTATATTTAGTTACAATTGAGGTACGTCCATGTCGATTATACATTGTACTTATTCAACAAGGTCTATCTCATGCAAGTCTCTTTGTTCTACAGGTTTTCAACACGTTAGCATTTATGGGATTTTTAGGAAGCACATCTATGATGATCGTTTTTGGCTATGGAATCATCAAATTAGAGCATATGGAGGTTCATGATATGGCTATGTCATTCATTTGGGGATTTGAGTTTCCTGTTATAGTCTACTGTATTTTGATAATTGGCATTGGCCGAGCAATGTCGATGAATGAAATGATTATTTTAAATGCAAAGAAAAATCCGAAATCCGCCATTTAATATAATGCTGTATTCAAGTTGAATGTTACTTGTAAATTTTTTATTCAATGTGCTTTTATGTTGTGGAATGTATTTTTTTTAATTAACCAATCCAATCGTATTAAGATTCTTATTAGTACTCAAGTTATGAGTGTAAAGTTTATGAAAAAAAAAATTGAATCAATAAAGAAACGTTACTTTTTTACCAGAAGCTTGATATTTCTGTTTATACGGTTAGCCCTAAAAGACCGATATCACGACAAAATAAGCAATTATCGAGTAATTCAGCAAAGTTATCGTTGGTTTCAATAAAATTTCTCGATCGCCAAGGATACTACGCTCGAGAAAGGGGTTGGAGTTCCTATATAATAAGGAAGAGGAATAAATTGGATCACAAACGGCATTAAAAGAGCGCGCGCACACGCGCGCACACACACACACACACACACACACACACCGAGCTTTCCCGCGCTTTTTCCTTCTTCCTTTCCGATTCGTCCCTCTTTCTCTGTTTATCCGTTTGTCTGTGGTTTTATTTTCAATCAGTGACATGCGCGCTCGCGCGACTGTGGGAGCGCCGTAGCGATTCTCAGCCACAGATAAAGTAGGTCAAAAGACTCGCGGCAATAATAAGTCAAATGCACTGCAGGGCGCGTCGTCCCTTTCATTTCTCTCTGCTTTTACGATTACATAGGGAAAGAGGAGCACGAGAGGGTTAAAAATCGATGCTCTGATTTATCGCAACGCCTTGGCGCGCTGAGCTAGACGTATGCGTCTACGTGGAGTAAACTATTGTTAAGCGAATCGCCGGTGTCGATCGGATCTCTTCCAAAGCGCTACATCAAACAATAACTAGGACTAATGGTTCGCGCCATCGACCGATACACAATTGAACTCGAATTTATGGCTTTGCGAGCGATAACAGAATGCGGAGCCACGTACCGAACTTCTAGAATTCAATCGAGCAAAGTCGTAGTCGCCGCTCGAGAAGAGAAAGCGCGCCAACGGCAGTGTCAACCGAGCGGACCAAGGAGCAAACAGAGACGTTTCGTCGCTCGAGCTAATAACCATCCATATAGGCTCTGGCTCGGCGCGAAACTTTCGTCATCGTTGCGAACGCCGCTGCCGACGGCCGCACCAAATCCGTCGCCCGTGTTGTCCAGGACCATATACGTGCACGTGAGAAACGAGTAGCGCGTTGTATATATATATATACACACACACATGTATCGCGCAATCATGTCGAAATTGCGACACTGGATTTTCGCGAGGAGAGCCCCTCCCCCTCTGCCGCGGCTACTACGTACTCCCAAATCGCTTCCGCTCGCGATACGTTTGCGCGACAGCTGCCTCCCCTCTTTCGTTCACGCGCGTCGCTCCCGGCATATTGATTTCGCGATAATGCATAGTCGGGCTGATTTTGTCGCACGGTTATAATGCGATAAGCCTCGAAGAATTACTCTTGGTACGAACAAGAAAGGCGCCTCCGTCGAATCGCCGCGGATAAATTCTGGCGTGGCGCGGTTTAATATAAGAGATTTACGGTAATAGGTTCCTTCTGAAATGTCCGCGAGGGCGCGTAACTCGCTGGGCGAAAAAACGAAGAAAAAAACATTCAATCAGCTAATTGCAAGTGCCAGATAAGGCGATCCGGGGTGCATTTGCACGAACAGCCTTCGGGGAGGTAAATTTTCGTGTCTACGTAATATACTCTTCCGCAATTACGCGAGCGAGCCTAGCATGCGGGCCTAAATGCTCTCTAACTTGCAGCTTTGATGTGCACGAAGCTTACTTATCTGCGTGTAATGCTGCAAGGCGAAACCGTATGGCTAATGCCGCGTAATTACGTCCGCTTAGAGACGTGCAGCAGCCGGCTACAGCACGCTGTCTTTATTCAGCGAATATTTTCAAATCTCCGTTGGCGTAATGACGCTGACGTTGCAGTCGAGATTATAGAGACGTCCGCGCAAACATATTCATCTACTGATTACGAGCCGCCGACGACGAAGCTTTACGAGTAATTGATTTTTCTTGCAACACTCGCTCTCCAAAAAGTCCACTGGCGCATACGCGCGAAACGATATCGCCGTGTCGCGAGGGCACCAGCAACTGCGCAGTATTTACACTCGGTTCAGCGCGCGAACGTGTGCGCTTGTTGGTTGTTCCGTCGGTAAAAATGCGCGGGCGTATATTTGCGGCGAGCGCGCGCCCAGCCGAAGATGCCGCGCAGAGGCCCGCGACTCAGTGATGAACGAGGGCATTAGCATTTCACCCACGGCTTTCTAATTAAATTTCCCTTATCCGCGCACAACGTCTAATTTCTTTCGGACGGTGTGACTGGGCGTCCGATTTCACAGGTGCGTCGTTGACCTATTATGCGATTTTTCTGCTTCATGTTTTTATCTCGACGGCGACAAAGTCTAGTGCTAATTACAAAAGTCTCTAAGCTATTTTGAGTGAAAGACAGGCATGAAAAACAAACGCGCAAGACGCTTGCAATACGACACTGTACTACTAGAAAAAACAGACGAAGCAAGAAAATTGCGAAAAGAAAACGCGCCAAAGGGCTAAAAAAGAGAGAGAGGCAGCAAGAATGAAGAAATTGTACGCGGCGGAGAGTAGAGACCTGAAAAGGATGAATGAGAATATAAGAATGACCGAGTGCTCTTTATTTTTTTTCCGTCAGTTAAAAATGGCACAAAATTGTACGTTGTTGTGCCAAAAAAACTGCTTATACGGTAGACAAAACATCGCTCCTTCCAAATTAGTTGAAAAATAACAGAATTAGATGAGTCACGTTCAAATGCTAAGTCGATGATGGCATTTTGTCGAATTGATTGACATTCATTCAAATTAGCGTTTTTATCTCGTATAATTTGAAATTATAATTGCGATACTACGTTGTTTCTCTTTTTCCGAATGAAACCTCTTGGCCATTGCCTTACTCTCTTCCACGATATTTTTCTCTTTTAATTTAGAAAATGTGCTTGACTGCGTTACTATGTATGGTTATTGTATTCGAACAAAATGCCTGTGGAGAAGGTTAACCTTTTTCTTCATTGACGTCGCAATTATGAGACCGATTTAAAGAGGCACTTCTCAATAGTTTACTATATTTTATGCTTTACAACAAAACACATGTATCACATGCAATCGCAGTATAATGATGCGAAGGATGGTACGTCGAAAACTCTAGAAGGATGATAAATCGTCGAGTTTAAATGAAAATAACCATAAATAACGGCGTTGCTTTACACTCCAAAGAGCATCGTCGTGAATTGAACAAGAGATATGCCGAGACGAAGAATACGCTGTTTTCCAAACTACATTTTCTATCAATCACAGTGACGCCGAAAATGACAGTTGCACCGAAGTTCATCGAAGGCCTTTCCTATGACGGAACGGAGAATAGCATAACCAAATTATCGTACCACCCGGCAACAGCGCGTCGAAAAGCAGTTATCCGCATTGGAAATCGGCGTCAAGCCGTTATCAAGCGCGCGAAACGAAAAAATATCAAATGCGTGGGCGTGCGCAGTTGGCACGGAGTGACATATGGGACGCTATGCTGCTACGTAACTCGTTATTCTATCAGCAGGCACAAGTGGCTACGATTGCACGGCATTTACGTTCATTTTTTTTTTCTTTTTCATTCGCCAATTGAACGCCTCCGACAATATCAATTCGCAAATCGCTCTCCTCGCCAATCCGCTAATATCGCTCGGTTCGTGTGTCGCGCGCGCAAACATTTCCAGTGCGCGTGCGATTATAATCGAACGGTCGCTGTGCGCGTTGGACGAGCGAAATCCGGAGCAGCACAGCGAGCGAATTTTTTTTTTTTTTCCGCGGAAGAGAAGAAGAAAAGAAAGAGCACACTTGTGCACGTAGGCGCGTACATGTGCAGGCGAAAGTCGTTAAATTCCGAAGCGTTGGAAAAGAAAACACTTGCGAGCAGAGCTGGAGTAGACTGAGAGTGGAGATGCCCCAACTGTAGAAAAAGTGACGGCCTCTTGCTTTGCCCACTTAATAATCCTCTCTCTCTCTCTCTTCTCGTTGCGCTTTGTCGCGCTTTGTCGTGCTCTGTCGCGCGCGCGCGCGCGCGCGGCCAGCAATGCTTTTGCATTTTTTGCCATCGTTCCATTTCCTTGCTCTGGCCACAGCCAACTCGGCGCAATTCTGCTAATGTCGTTGCTAAGCCCTTGGCGGCGGCTCTCGCGGCATGACAAGACGAAAGGCAGGCTTAGTCAGCAGCGGCGCCCGACGTATAAGTGTGTTGATCGTTTGACATCGGTGTCGGCGAGCGGCGAAACGGCCGAGCTCCGGCAACCCTTGGCCGACGAAAGCCAGGCGTAAACACGGGCGCGCGCTGAAAATATCAATCGTCGCGCGCGCAAACCCATGCCCGCGCCGCTGCTATCCTCTTATCTGCATGTGTTTATCTATTTATCCATCAGGCAGCTCCCTCCTGTGTTTATCCAGTCTCGGTATCATCTGTACCCGTATACATTCCCCGCTCCCCCTTCTCGCTTCTGTCTTGCACTTATGTAAGTGCAACCCACGCGAGCGCTCTACGTCTCTGTCGCTTTTTCGGATCTCCCAGCCGCTACTCTCTATCTCTCTCTCTCTACATTATTTACAAGCTACTCCTAACCACCAGTTCGGATTCCAATTCATCCGGCTTGTGTTTCGCCGCCCCCGTCGTCGCCGTAGCCGCTTATCGATCGCGCGCATCGCCCAGAGACTTTCGACTCGCCATCTTTCGCCGATCGCGCCCGCCGCGGTACTTCGTTAAGCGCGCGCCGCTCGGATATTCAATAGCGGCCCTCCTGCCCAAAGTATTACATCTCGCTGTACTCGGAGCCAAAGGCCTTTCGCAAGAGAGGAAGCAGTGGGCCGCGAAAAATCGGCGGGGAAAAGCGCGGCAACATCTCGGCGGGCTATCTTTGGCTAAAGCATTTCCGGTCGAGCGTGGGCTCTCGCGGCAACGGCGCGAAAGACAATCGCGCGGCTTCGGTACGCCCGCGTGTGCGCCGACATTTCGCAATCCCATCTGGCGCGGACGGACGAGGCTCTCTCGCGGGCGTTTTCACGGACCGTGAGCGCCCCGGTTAGCTTTCCGGGACTTCCAGCCTCGACTCGCAATAGTGGCAAATGCTTTCCTCTTCGTCACTACTGAGCTGCAATCCGATCGCTTCAACAGCCA